TAAACAGATGAGATTTTTGAAAGAAAACAGGTGATGCGAACATCATGCTTAGATTGTAAATTAACCATATATTACCTAAATTACTCCCATTTTTATACCTGAAGTATTTCAAGAGCAACAACATTAGGTATACTATATTATGTCTTTATAAGGCCCCTATCAGAGAGATATTCAAGAGGATTTTATAGAATGTAAGAGAAAAGAAATTCACACTCCAGTGACAGCATGTTCTCACCAGGCACAGTAACCTCATGGCTTCTCTCCTGCTGTCCTTGGACAGCGAGGGCAGACAGTGCTCCAGGCAGTAACTTATCATACAATCATGGAATACCAGGTGGGAAGGGATCTCAAGGATTATCTGGTCCAACTTTTCTTGGCAAAATCACAGTCTAGACAAGATGGCCCAGCTGAATGGGCAGCTGAATCTTAAAGTGTCCAACACTGAGGAATCCACCACTTCCCCGGTGAGATGATTCCAGTGGCTGATTGTTCCCATCGTGAAAAATTTTCCTCTTGTGCCTAATCAGAATCTCCCCAGGAGAACCTGGAAATTCTGGGATCATTTCCCTGACAGAAGGCCCAAATAGAAAAAAGTTTCTTGTCTATAATTCCCAGCTCTGTTAGGTGGAATTACAGCTGAGCCTGTTTTCTTGGTGCACTGGGGCATTGCTCAAACAGGGCAGAGCTAAGGCTCTGTTGTGGGAATGACATTTAAACACATTTTCGTGCATCCTTGTATGCACATGCTTTAAAGTTCAGCTGCATTTCCATGTTCTGGGAGGGCATAAAATACTAACCATAAAAAATAATTAAAAAACCCATTAAAGACATAAAACCACACAAAACATTAAGGCAAGCCGAGCTCTGTGTCAGAATGTTTAATTGCTACAGGGTTTTGTCTGTTTATTCTTTCATGTGTTGGCTGCTGCCTTGGCAATGATCCCTCCTCCTCCAGAGCTCACGGATCGTGGGCTGGTCCTGTGGCTGTTCCTGCATCTCACATCACCACTACAGCCTTTTCCTTGCTCCTCAGCTTTTTTCTATGAGGAAAACTAGATGACAGGATGGGAAGCTGGTGATGGGTTGTATGAAGAGTGCATGGGCTCATGTGGAGTCTTGGGATGGTGCCCGAAGGAGAGACATGAAGGCTTTATGAGGGATGTAAGGGACTTGTGAGGAGTCTTTCCCTGCAGAGTTCCCCTTCTTACACCCTGCATCAACAGAGCCTTTCCAGGATGTGGAAAGCTTCAGCTCCCCCAGTCTGCACTTGTGCTCCACACACACACACAGACCTTCTCTTCTCAGCACTACCTCTTGACCCCACTTTGTGACTCAGGTGACTTTTGGGGGGACCAGAAGGGGGGAAGGTGACAAGGCTGTGACAGGAGCAGCAGAGAAAGGAGAGTTGATGCAGCCCATGGGCTGGTGCAGAGGTTTATTCAGGAGAAACAGCAGATGGTGGCAGCGACAGCTTTTGGTGTCTCACATCACTCCCACTCATCATCCGCCTCTCCCACACACCTCCACCTTCACGGATCGTAAATGGAGAGTGTGGATGTGGAACAAACAGCACTGCTGCAGGGAGAAAAGCACAGCATCCACAAGCTGCTGCAGCAGCTCCCAGCTCAGGGGGTTGGGTTCAGGGGCAACAGAGCACATCAGTGTCACGACAGCCCACCTTGAAGTCCTCTTCCTCCATGAGCATCCCTTGTCTTCCTCTGCACAACCCCCCGGGCTCTCTGCCTGGCCTGGCTGGCAGTGAGCAAATGTCTAGACCCAGCTCACCAGTTAATAGCTTTTTCAATATTCATTTTGCTTCCCTGAGGAAGAAATGGGCCCCGCGCACTTGGCTGATATAAATACCCGGGGACAGATATTCTGGGGACGTGAGCAGGGTCTCAGTTACACTCCTGGACCTGCACAACAGCTGCCTGAAGAGCAGCTGGGTTTACAGGTGTGGTTATTGGGGGGAAAGGAGAAAGGGAAGATTGATGGGAGAAAGGAGATGATTGTTGGGAATAGGGCAAGGCACTACCTTAGGAACCTCTTTCTCAAGTGATCCCAAATTTTCATTAACACCAACCAAAATCTGTTAGAGACTCCCCTTTCCCAGCCAGGGCATCAAGTCACAAAGGACTCACAAATCACAAACAATATTCATCAGAACACCTTTTATTGATTAAGCCTTTTACTATTAATGGAGTCCAGCTGCTATTATTAATAGTAGATAACTTCTCACACATTTCACTCACACACACACACACACTCCCTCCCTCTCAGTTTTCCAGCTGGAGCAACAGCTGGGAGGACAATCCCAGCTACTTGCACGGCTTGTACTGATGTGCCAGTGGCTTTTAGGTGGGTTTTCACCAGGTCTCTCAAAGGAGGCTCGGGGGGACCTCATTGTTCTCTAGTAGTACCTGAAAGGAGATTCTAGTGAGATGGGGTCAGTCTCTTTTCCCAGGTAACAAGTACAGGACCAGAGGAAATAGCCTCAAATTGTGCCAGGGGAGGTTTAGACGGGATATTGGGGAAAATCTTTTCAGAGGAAGGGTGGTCAGGGGTTGGGACAGGCTGTCCAGGGAAATGGTAGAAACACAATTCCTGGAAGTGTTCCAATAGTGTGGATGTGGCACTTGAGGACACGGTTTAGTGGTGAACATGGTGCTGGTGCTGCGCTGATGGTTGGACTTGATGATCTTAAAGGTCTTTTCCAACCTTAACGATTCCATGGTTCTGTGAAAGGGTGCCTTGTTTCATCAGGTGTAAGGAAAATCCTCTTGCCTCGGTGGAGCCACCACTTTTCTGGATGCAGAAAGCCCTATTCTGTGGGGCTTATTAATTCCTGGGGGACTTGCTCCCCTTTGGCATGTGTTTCTCCTCTCTTCAGTCTGTTTTTAGGTAACTGTATCTCCATCCTCACCCTGAGGTACTTCCAGAACCCATTCCCACAAACTCATGCAAAGGTGCTTTCGTCACAGGCTGTTACAGACCAGAAATGTCACAACCACCTGAGCAAGGCTGTTTCAGACACTTTGAATAACTGTTTTATGGTGACTGATCCCACCTGTAGCGAGCTGAAGATTATTTAGAAAAACGTAACATTTCCTAACCTCAATGGGGTTAAAATCTCAGCCCTAAGTCAAAGTATTTTGTTGTAATATGTAGGCATATACAAACACAGCTTTTTCTTTGCTCCAAAACTGAATAGGATTTTGGTTTCTACACCTGCTATCTTGTGAGAATCTGAGATAATACAGCATTCTCACAAACTTTACAGAATGTGTCCTGTGATGTGGCTCTGTGATTTTGAAAGTCCAAACATTCCCTTTCTTCAAAGTACAGACAGATGAAGGCAAAACCCAGCTGTACTGCTACAATTAAACACTTTTCCATGAAAATGGCTAAAACTGAACTGATTAAAATTAGATGTTGAGCACTCATGTCCCATCAGTTATCTCTCAGCACAGCTGATCTTCTGCCTCTCTGATCACCAGTCACAGGCCACTCAGTCTTGAAAGTGTGGATACAGAAATGTCCTGAGCTGAAAGGGATCCACAAGGATCATCGAGTCCAACTCCTGGCCCTGCACAGGTTGCCATGGTGGGCTTTATAATTTCTATCCTCACTGTATTTCGAGCTCCTCTCCTTCACTCACCACCTCTCAGCAGTGAAGTGAGGGGGCTTTTTTGCTCCTGAGGCTTTTCATTTCTGTTCAGGAGGAAGGATGCTGTACCCTGAAGGTACCTATGTATTTAGGTCACAGAAATGACTATTGCATTAAATGTGGCAGACAGAGGATGTGCTGCAGGGTCTGTGGTGGGTTTAAAGCTTTTGGGGGGGCTTTGGGAGGACACGAGATGGTTTGATGCAGGGCTGGATGGTGTGGACAGGTGATGTCCAGCCCCTCATAAATCAGCTGTGTGATGTGAATTAACAAATCCCTACATCTCAGGCACTTCACCGTGGCTTAAAGCTCGACCAGCTCTGGCCCCACGGTGCTGCTGCTCTTTCTGTGTCATCAATAGTGTGGCAGCAGGACCAGGGCAGTGACTGTCTCCCTGTGCCTGCCACTGGTGAGGCCTCACCTGGAATTCTGGAGTCAGTTTTGGGTCCCTCATGACAAGACATTGAGTTGCTGAAGCATGTCCAGAGAAGGGAACGGAGATGGGGATGGTCCGGAGCACAAGTCTGAGGAGAAGCAGCTGAGGGAGCTGGGGGGGCTCAGCCTGGAGAAAAGGATGCCCAAGGGGGACCTTCTGGCTCTGCAACTCCCCGACAGGAGGGTGGAGCCAGGTAGGGGTCAGGCTCTGCTCCCAGGGAACAAGGGACAGGATGAGAAGAAATGGCCTCAAGGTTGCGCCAGAGCAGGTTTAGATTGGATATTAGGTATCATTTCTTCACAGACGGGATTGTCCATCCCTGGCACAGCTGCCCGGGGCAGTGTTGGAGTCACCATCCCCGGAGGGGTTTAAAAGCCGTGTGGATGTGGCACTTGGGGACGTGGGTTAGTGGCGGGCTTGGCAGTGCTGGGGGAGCGGTTGGACTCCATGATCTCGGAGGGCTTTTCCAACCCAAATGAGCCTGTTATTTTACGATTTTCCTCGGGCAGAAGCAGACCCAGCCCTTCCTCCCCTCACGGGAGCACGGCCGCCTCACACTGGCCCCGCCCCCTGCCCTCACACGGCCACGCCCACAGAGTGATCCCGCCCACGAGCTCCCGGCCCCGCCCTCCCCCGGCCCCGCCGCCCCTCAGGCCCCTCCGCGGCCCCGCCGCCCTTCCCGCTGCCGGCGCGGAGTTGAGGGGAACTCGCCCCGCACCGCTCCTACCGCCGCTATCGCGGCGCTCCCGAACACTCTCGTAGCCCAGCGGGGTGGGCGGGAGCGGCGGCGCGGTTCCCACTGAGGAAGCGAGGCGGCGGCGCGGCGGACAGGCGCCGAGGGCAGCCCCGCGCGCCGCGGAGCAGGAAGGCCCCGCGGAGCCGCGGCGGAGGAAAGAGGAGGAGCGGGAGGGGAGGGAAGGGAAAGGGAGGGAAAAGGGAAGGAAGGAGGGAGCGAAGGGCCGCGATGCCGCTGTACGAGGGGCTCGGCAGCGGCGGGGAGAAAACCGCCGTGGTGATCGACCTGGGACAGGCCTTCACCAAGTGAGTGCCCCGCGCTGCTGCCGGGATTTGAGGTGTCCGGCTTCGAGAAGGGAATGGTGTGGGGAGAACTCGGAGCCACTTCCAAGTGCCTGAAGGGGCTCCGGGACAGTGGAGAGGGACTTGAGACAAGGCATGGAGTGACAGGACAGGGGGGAATAGGTTCCCACTGCCAGGGGGCAGGTTTAGATGGGATATTGGGAAGAAATTGTTGGCTGTGAGGGTGGTGAGGCCCTGGCACAGATTGCCCAGAGAAGCTGTGGCTGCCCCATCGCTGCAAGTGTTCAAGACCAGGTTGGACGGGACTTGGGGCAACCTGGGCTAGTGGAAGGTGTCCCTGCCCACAGCAGGATTAATTCCCCCAGGAATTAATCCCATTCTGGGATTCTAAGAATAATTATGTGGGGCTTTCCCCCTCACTCCCTTTCTGTGTCAACCAATGTGGTGCAAAGCCAAAAATAACAGATTTATTTTTTAATCTGGTGTTTTAGGTTAAAACAAGGTGTAGTTTGCGGTTGAGGCAGAAACACGGAGGTGTTTATGTAGTAAATTCATCTTGTGGGCCAGAAGTGCAGCTTTGCCTCTGCCCTCCCCGTGTCCAAACACCCCCCTGTGTTACAAACCCCCCTCGTGTCCCAGGGGCCCTTGTGACAAAGGGGCTGTTCAAGGAAAGTTAAACCATATCCGGGGTTAAAACTGTCTGGAAATGCTCTCTGGGTGTCAGTGAGCTGATCATTATTATTATTATTATCTTACAAGATTAATTCTCCCTTGAGCTCTGAGCTGCTCTTACAAGGCTCGTGGCTGTGTCCATGTGGATGTTTCCCTGCTGGAAGCCCTGGGAAGTTCCCTGGTTGCCAAAACAGGCTGGAATCACAGGGGACAGTTATGGACAATTCCTTGTCCATAACTGGTTTATTATTTAGTTGTATTTGTTTGGGTTTTTTTTCAGTGACAGTGTAGTTGCAGACCAGCAGCAGCTTTGTTACCTGGGAATGAGAGGATTTAACAGGATGGAAACAAGTGATTCCAGGAGTGACTTTTTGTGGATTGTGACCAATCAGAGGCTTTTCCTAAATTTAGGATGCTTGTGAGGTTTATCCCCTGGGCATAATTTATCCAATAAAATGCTCCCATGGGAAAGCTTTTCCTCTCTTTCTTTAGGACCTGTTTTCAACTTTCATTCTTGTAAAGAAATAACAGCTTAATTGTATGAGAGATGTCTCTGTCCATTTCCAAATAAGGCTGAAATCAGCCAAAAATTCAAAAGTTATCAGGATGACAGGCAAGGAAAACTGCCTGTGCACACTGGGACTGCACAGCAATTTTTTGGGAGACTGAAGAAAATACTTAAATTCTGAATTGTGGCCATTTTAATTTTTTTTTCTGAGATGATCCAACATGTTGACAGTTGTCAACTATGAAAATCAAATATCAATTGACCTTCTGCATTAAAAGTGCTCCAAGTCCAGCAGCTTTTTGGTTTTCTACTGTAGTTTTCTTCTGAGGTTTGGCAGGGGTGAAACAAATCTCAGGCACTGAGTTTACTAAAATAAATTTAATTTCTCTTGGTTTTAATTTCTTTTCTTCAGTCTATCGTTCTTGTGTGTTTTCGGAAAAGCAGGTGGGTTTCTGAAAAGTTTGTTTGGGGATTGCTGCTATTTTTATCTTGTTGGGATAAATTAAGGGAGTCAATAAAAAAGATATAGAGTCTTTCTCTATCTTTTAATCCATCTGTAAATGGCCAGATAGAAAATCTGTGTGCAAAACACCCCTCTGCAGTCCCAGAAACAGCCCTAATTCATCACCCTCTGATGGTTCCTGGGCCCAGTGTGTTAAATAGTGACTTCAAATATTAAAGTTTTCTGCATTTTCTTTCAGGTGTGGCTTTGCAGGAGAAACAGGACCAAGATGCATCATCCCCAGTGAGATAAAGAAACCTGATGTCTCAAAGGTGAAATGTGTTACCTCAACTGCTTTAGAGTGTTTTGTGTGTTATGAGATAGAAGGGATTTGCAGATGCTTTTTCTGTCCATCACAAGCTGTTTTTTTCATTGTCTGAATAAAATATTCTGGAATATTATTATATTTTTCAGTATTTTAACTGCTGCTATTACAAGCTGCTGGCTTGATACAAGTGATGTGATGCCAATGCTGATTTAATTTGGGGTATTTTTTGAGAAATTGCTTTGCCTAGCTAAGCTTTTTATACTTACTTTTGGTAGAGAGTGGAGGTTTGGAAAACTAATGTCAAATTGCCTGTAACAGTAATAGTGAAAAATAATTATAATAATGTAAAATTAGCATTGATAAACTCTGGAGTTTAGTTATAGGGTGAGTTTCTGAGGTGCTTTAAGGACAAAGAGCAAAGAGTGAGTTTTTCTGTATATGTAGTGCCAGATTAGATATGTTCAGGTGTAATATATTCTGTATATATCATATTTCTTCACATACCCTGTATATATTTACATGTAATCACTGACTGTGGATGTTTTCCCTTTCCAGCCTGTCAGGGTGGTTCAGTACAACATTAACACCGAAGAGCTGTATTCCTACCTGAAGGAATTTATCCACATGCTGTATTTCAGGTGAGAGATCCCTGGCTGGCAGTTCCTCAGGCCTCCTGCAGCTCCTTTCTGAGCACCTGGAGAACTGTGAGCAGGGTCACTGAGCTCTGATGGGTGAGAAAAAAAACACTAACAAGACTTTAAAAGTAGCTGCCTGACTCTGTTCTTGCAGGAGAATTTCAGTGCTGCTGAGATTTGGGTTGTATCACAGCGAGCTCATGTCCTGCAGCATCAGTTGCTCTCTAGAAATAGAAATTATTTGATAAGTTGCCCTTTAATTGTGCCATTTGTAAAGGACTCGATAAGGGGAAGTCATTACCCAGGAAGTTGCATTGATTCTGGTCAGGCTGGAGCTCATCCTGTACCAGTGCAGAGCTCTCCACAGTGGTTTGGAAGGAGGAATCTTAATCTGTGGAATATTTTTGCCTCAACAATACATCTTTTGATTGTATTTTTAGGACGCTTAGTGAATAACGACGTTGGACTTAGTCTTTCCTCTTTGCTTCCAATCCTTATTTTTACACAGTAAAAAACCATAACAGGGAAACCAGTATTTGATTTCTGGGCCTCAGATCTTCTGGTGTGGGTTGGGTTTTCTTTTCTTCTCTTGTCCTTGGCCGTTGCTTTGTAATTGAGATCAGGACAATTCCTTTCTCTTCCCCAGAAATCAGAACATCTGTGTCATCATTCTCTGTCTTTTATGATGCTGTGTGACACTGAACAAGCCAGTCACGACTTATTTTTGCATTTCTTTATATTGATTTAGAAGTGTATAGCAGATATTCAGAACTACAAGCTCTGTTTTCCATACCACACTTTTCCTAACTTTTTTCTAGGAAAGCATTGGGGGTTTTATATTTTTGAAGACTCTGGGGTCTTCTGTAGGAAATGCTATCTAAATGCCAATTTTTAGGATTTTTTGGGGGGAAATGGGATATGAATATAAGGTAGGGCTCATAATTCGTGCCTGAACTTCCCAGTGTTGCTTTACACGTCTTGCCCTTTTTTAGGCACCTGCTGGTGAATCCCCGAGACCGTCGCGTTGTGATCATAGAATCGGTCCTGTGCCCTTCCCACTTCAGAGACACCCTCACAAGGGTCCTGTTCAAGCATTTTGAGGTACATGTTTTCCAGAAATATGTAAATTTGCCCCACATGCTCAGTGTAGCACTTCTCGGTAGAAATTGGGCTTACAGTCAGTGCCAGATGTGGGCCAAGACATGAAAACGGTGCCAAAAGAGTGAGAGAGGCATAAAGAAGAAAAATCTGAGGAAACAGAGCTTGGAAGTTGGTTTAAAGGCCATTTTTGTTCCATTCTGGCTCTTCATGAGGCCACAAAGCAGCAGCAATTAACAAGACTCTGAAAGGTTTCTCTGGCTTATAGGATAATACAGCTCCCATCCCACTGTCCCAGACAGATCCAATAATCCCCACTGAGCGCTGCCTGGAGCCAGGATTTATATTTAAACACTTGTTAGTGCTCTGTCAGCGAGTCTCCTGATTTCTGCCAGAGTCATTATCTCTGCCTGGCATGTGACCTGAGCTCTGGCTGTGCTCATTTAGATAAGAGCTTACCTGAAATTAATTATCTTCTCTGCCTAATGAGTGTTTTTGAAGAAAATTTGTTGAAGCAAAAAAAGCTGTGGATGCTCCTGGAAGTGTTCAAGGCCGTTTTGGATGGGGTTCTGAGCAACCTGGGATAGTGGAAGGTGTCCCTGCCCATGGGTGATCTTTAAGGTCCCTTCCAACCCAAACCAGTCTATAATTCTATGAAAAGTCTGAAGCTAATTCTGGCTTAGTTGTAATAGAAAATGTTTTGGAAGGTGATTCCATACTTCTTCAATTCAGACAGAACAAAAGTTAAGGTTCTATAAAAAGCAGTGAAACTTTGTCTGCAGTACCTCTTCACTGTGCTTCCACAGCACAGTTTACCAACTGATGCTAAATTTCTACATCATTCTTTCTTACTATTGATAAAATTTTCTGATGACTTGAAATTGCTGAAAGATTTCAGTGATTTGTTTGAGGGTTTTTTCCTAATTCCCTTACAGGAGTAAAATATGTCTCAGATAAAGCACATCCCATCCAAAATGGTTTGGCAAAAATTACTGATGACTTCAGAGTCATATTTTGATGGAAACACCTTGTAACTTGTGAGGAAGTCAGTTAATACTGATGGGAGGTTAATTCTCTCCGGTTTCTATTTCCATTTGTTGCAAAGAATAAAAATGGTTTATTAATACAGGCTCAGTATTCTAACTTACATCTCTGAGCTAAATGTCAGTAATGTTGCCCACAAATGCAGGATTTATTGATATTTCTCATTTAATTCACACTTCAAGCTGTTCCATTAAAGGAACTGTTGCTATCTAAGAAACTTGATTTGTGGAATTCTGGGAGAAGGGAGTAATTCTTATGTAATTTTAACCTGAGTTTCCACATTGCTTTGTGGAGAATGTTTTAAGTAGCCCCCTGTGAGTTTGTGTGTAGCAGAAGGCACACTTTTAAGGGTTTTCTAGCATTTTTATTCACATCTTCAAGTCTTTATACAAATTTTCAAGTAGCTGTGTATTAATGTCTTTTCAATGACAATAAGAAACCTGATATAAGACTTAAGATGAGTTGAATGGTTTGTTTCTTTTTCCCCAACTGTCCTATTGGTTTCCACATAGGTCCCTTCTGTTTTGTTTGCTCCAAGTCACCTGATGTCTCTCCTGACCCTTGGGATCAATTCTGCCATGGTGCTGGACTGTGGATATGCAGAAAGCTTGGTGCTGCCTGTATCCTTGAATTTTCAGCAGTAAGGCTGTTGTGACAAGATGGGATTTTTATAGATTTCACTAATAGGAACAGCTCAACCAGTCTGGCTTTTGGCTGTGGGATGTCACAGCTTGGGGAATCCCTTCACAGCTGACGTGGGGCATCTGTGCTCCCTCAAACCTTGGGAAGGGGGTTCATGACTTCAGCCTTTATAAACTAGAAATTAGTTCTGGAGAAAAACAGCTAGAAAGTGTTTCTAATAGCTAATGCAAGGGGAAAAGCATTTAGTTGCAGCAGACTGAAAACTCATAATAGAAAAAAAGGAGAATTTCCTGATCTTCCTGTAGATCTATGAAGGAATTCCGATCCTGAGCTGCTGGGGTTCCCTGCCCCTGGGAGGAAGGGCCATCCACAAGTAAGTTCACAGTTATCCATTCCAGGTCACAAATTATTTATTTGTGAGAGTTCATCTTTGATTAATGAGCAGAGATTCTTGTTTTTAAATCATAACTTGCTGCGACATCATCCAATTTTTAGAGTTACCACTGTTTGGCTTTCACTGATGTGGTAAAAACTGTGGAAATCAGATCTTGTGAAGTTTATATTTAAAAGGATGTGACTGAAAGGGGTAAATATTGTCTGTTAAGGGTAGTACAGAGAACCAGGCTGAGTTCTTGGCTGTCTTTAACTACCTTTGTG